AAGACGCTTTTACGGGCTCCCGTGGCGCGCATCAAAGTGATAACGAATTTCACGTTAAAAAACTAAAGAGCACGCTCCTCGATGTCTATAACAATATCAAGAGGGAAGCCCGGTTCGGTTGAAAATTATCCATCATTTTACGAATTTTTTTCGAATAATGTATCAGCCGGATCTTTGTGAAACTTGCTGGGTCTTTCGTTGGATGTTTGGCGGTAACAAGTAATTTGTTTTCAATAGTAAATTGTACGTCAATTTTTACCTTACCCAAAAAAGCTAAAAATTTTCTTGTTTATTACGTAATTACATTGTCAAAAGTGCAAAATTTTAAAAGCGTAATTTTGAAGCCTCGTCAGAGATTGATTTCTAAATTTTTGAGTTGCGTGTTGCATCGAAACCCGTCCGTCCATGGTAAAAATTTGTATAAGCTATGTTTGTTTTGTTGTCATCGCCGTGTGTTACAATAAATGTTGCGGTTGCTGACTGTGTCCGCGACGAGTTACACAAGTATTTGCTTGTCCCCGAGTAACAACACGAAAGGCTCGAGAATTCACGATCTTCGAGTAAATGTTATCGAGTTCGAGCAGGCTCTTGTTTACGTTTCACGCAGTGTTTTCTTCGCGATGGCAAAGGGGCTTGTTGTGCAACCAGAAACAATTTATTATCGCGCAAACAACACGTTACACGACCGTTGTGCGACGTTCGATTGTTGGTCGATATTAAATATTCCTTGGAAAATCAAAGAAATGAAAACCTGAATCACATTTGGCAGAAAACCAACTGTCTCAGGTGTAATATGAACAAGTGAAATTTAATAAATAAATATATAGAGGTTGTCGTTGTTGGTCTGAACGTACAGGAAAAATACTGGTGCATACTCTCAGAGCACAGCCTCCCGAACCTTCGACGCGCAAAAACAGGGTCTAAAATAGTCCACGTACCCCCGAAAGGAGCCACCCCTTCCGTTGTCCTTGGCGAATCAGAACCTCGAGGATCGATTTTTCAAGCTGTTACAGAGTTTTTTCACGATACGTGGCACCTTGATCGATGCTCGATGCTAATGAGCAACGCTCGAGTGACATTCTGCCGTATGTTTATTAATCGCGGGGTCCGGTTCCCATCAGGGGTAACCGGCTGGACGAGTTCGCAACCCCTTCAGAAATCGTTTCCAACGTGTTTCGATCGATCTCCCATTCCAGTCTTGTCCCCCTCCCCCTTTTCTCAAAACGGTGACCGCGTTCCCTCGCGAGCCACGCTTTTGCACATACTCGCGGAAATTAAGCGGAGTCTTAGGAAACGTCTTAATTAATCCTCCGAAACGTCTATCGCGAATTGCTCCTTCCAGCGGCAATTAGGCGAGATTACCACGTTGCACAACGGGCCTGAGAACGACGATGCGGCAATGGCCGAGCGTGAATTTTACTCGCCGTTTCGGCTCGAATCGGAGGAGAAACTTGCCTTATTTCGTCGTATCGTCGTCGTTATATTGTCATATCGTCATGCTATCGATCATATCCTCGTATAACCCTCAGCACTCCGAATTTTCTGGTTTCGGTACATTTATGTCGAGCCTCGCTCAACATAGAATCGCGAAGGGCTAACATTCTTTCTTCTCCGAAGGAGATTGATAAAAATTGCTGATCGTAGTATCATCGTCGTTACATCGTGAGATCGTCATACGATCATATCCTCATACCGTCGCGCTATAACATTCTTTTTCCTCCGCAGAAAATTGATATAAATCGAGGAAATTATGTAACGCAAACACCTCGTCACGCGTCGTTTTAGAACAAGCGTATTGCGTGCCTCGTGTCGAAACCGCGCTCGATATGCTTACATTACGCATACACGCACCTGGAACAATTTCGACAAATCCGTGCGTTGCAATTTATCGAATACCTCTGTATCAACACACGAGATTCGAGTTTCGATCAGGAAGTCAATGGTAAAAACAACGAGTTCAAGGTCTGAGCCGCGAAACACGAATATCAGGGAGCGGAATTGCAGACGCGGCATTGTAAGAAATCGCGACGACGCGAAGTAGGCAAGAATTCTGATTACTGTATCGTAGTGGAACGTGAGAAAAAAAAAGTAATTCCAATTCTGTGTCGATCTGTTCGAAAATACCGATTTTCGAACTCTGCTTCGAAGACGCCATAGTACCACGCTAATCCATCAATCACGTTGTGTCTCAAGAACCAAAAGGGCTCTCTAAACAATTATAACGATAAAAACTGTACATTGTAAAATTCGTAAGTTAATAACCTGAAGAATAACTTATGTAATTATTACAGAAAACGCGAGATCCATGGGGAGAGTGCGGTCGACTGTGATCGTTTCCTGAGTTTTTCGCAGCGATCACGACGCTCGTGTTCGACATGCCCCGTTTCACCGTTCCTTATTGCGCGACGATTACCTTGGATTCCAAGAAACGCGGAACGCTATCGCATTAATCGTCTGTTCTCCGTGTGACGCGGCCCAGGTGTTGAGTGTCGCCTCGTACGACGAAATATGATTCTGTGGACGTTCCTGGCCTACATTGCCACTCATTATGTGATCGAAAGTAAACGCACCTCGGTCCCCGCCTGGACGGAACGACAGGAAACAATGGGTCACGCTGCGGGACGTATTCACAGAGACCACCGTTTCATCAGGTGTATCGCGCGGTCCCTTTCTTCTGTCTGTTGCTGATGTTGCAAGGGCCACGGGGAGTGCCTTCAGATAAGCACATTTCGGGGGCCATTTTGGGTTAAGGGACTGCGAAGACTCGGTAGAGATGTCCATCGAATATCGTTTAATTTAAAGTTTTGGAAATTTACTTTTTTTCGAGTACTAGAGGCTTCAGAATCTTGAAAAATAGAAGAAGTCGATGCTAGCCTCCACCGTGTGTCGAATTATATCGAAGTAGTTGCTCGACCATCGAGATACAACGCACGGTTTTGTATTTCACGATAATAATCCAGCGATCAGCACTTGTACGACTGCTACCTGCACGGTTGCCCTATTCAAGATTATAAGTGCGCACGATTGTAAATTGCACGACTGTGCGCGACTACTGTACACACGGTTGCAGAGCTGGGCAAAATGAACGAAGAATAAACAACCTTCTATGCGTTACCGATCGGATAAAGAAGTTGTGTTATACGTCATGCTGAACGAAATAGAATTTATATAAACAACGGTTTACCCTTGGATAATTAATAAATTACTGATAAAAAAGAGGTCAGCCATTAGGTCTCCTATATGTGTGACATATTGTCCAGAGCATTTTGTTCAACTATGTAGTATGTACATTTTATTCGCACATGGAAACATGCAGAGCTTTAAATAAAATTACTACAACCGTACCATGGTCTGTGGCGGACGGTTTTCCAACTGAACGGTTTTCCAACTGAACGGTGGGCGGTGAAGGGGTTAACCACCATTCGTAAAATCGTGATTGGTAACATTTTGCACTGTAAGGAAGAACGTTGATCGAAAGCCGCAGCGATTATTTATAACCTCACTCGACACGGTTCAACATTTCTGTTCGAATGAATAATTCCATTGCTGTGATAATGTATCATAGATAACAATCGGTGTTTCAGGTAAAAAGGACGCGTATAATAAAGACGTTCAGTAGTAATAATAATATTTGCCTTGCGTCGATTGTTCGATCTAACGCCATGTTTCTTTTCAAGTCGAAACGCGAGCCCACCATTAAATTTTTTTATCGAATGACCAGGTAGACGGCGGAATGCAAAGGTGTTCTCGTTAAAGTAAATAAATACTTTAATTCTCACCGGGAACAATCTATTACTTTTTCTTCTTTCTTCTTTCACCTCTTTTCTTTTGTTTAAACAAGAAAACAACCGTACATGTTTCATGGAAGTGTGCCGTTACAGCCATTACCCGAGGAAGCGTTTCTTTGTGTATTTACAGCGGAAAGTAATGCACAGCAGATGGTCGTGCCCAACGCAAAGAACTTGGATCTTATTTCGTGAGATCCTAAGAATTACATTGGAATGGCATCAAGTGGCAAACATAACTTAAAACTTCGTTGCAGTCTCCGTCCTCTGTTGGCCAGAATCTTATTCGAACGACGGATCTATTATTATTTATGTTTACATTACAAACGAAATGTTCCCATAGCAAAATATTTACAACATTCGAAACTTCGATTTCGATTCCAAGAAACGTAGCAGTTTTCGATACTTTATTTCCTCACAAGTTGCGAAACGGTATCGATAATAAACAGTCGATTATCGCGAATGCATCGCGACCGTAATTCCCGGAGAACAGGTTACGAGTGTTGCGACACATTCCGAAATTAACGAGAATTGACATCTTCGCGGTGCGAGCTATGAAAGTGCCTGTACAGGTTTTCGAGACGGCGAAGCGAGCGGAGATAAGGGTGGAAAAACGTGGGGTCGTGTGATCGTCCAGATAGCGGCTGGAGTGGGGATTACGAGGGGTTAGAACCTGCGCCTAAGTTTACCCCTTCCGGCGCATGCTCCTGCAACACGTTTCCCACCCTGTCGCCGAGGTTTGACTCCCGATATGATCGGAAAAAGGAGCCAGAAGCTAAACTGCCACCCCCCAGCCACCCACCCCCGCCAACTCCTCAGCCCGTAGCACTTTCCGCCGTTGCAGAACCAAACTATCGCAACGAGCAAAATAAATGATTATTAAAGAAGGTTACTCTAGGTTTAAACATTTATCTTGTGTCAGGAACAAGATAAATTGTTATTGAAGTACACTGTTGGCACTCGAGATTACCAAAGAAGAGGAGGCTTTGTATCCACGGTATTTTATATACCGATACAAACAGAATAAAATACCCATCTTCCAATTGATCAATAATTAATTAATTAATTAATATTGAAGTATAATATCGACACTCGAGACTACCAAAGAATCCTCCGCTTCAAAAGTATCTTACGTACCCAATACGATCATAATAAAACCCAAAGCCCTAATTGATTCGATCAAGGAGTACATACCTCCCAGCAACGCACGATCGAGTATCGAAGAAATAAATCGAGGTGGGAGGGCGTCGAATGCCGCGTGAATCTCCAGTACAGCGGGAACGCAACCCTTCTTTCCGATCAGGCCGTTGAAGTCACCGATACTTCCGATACCTGATACAGCGCATCGTGTCCTCGTGGCCAACGCTGGAAGGGATGGCGTTGGCTGGTGGGGGCAGCCACCCTCGCGTTTTTGCGGTCTGTTTGCACCCGCGACCGCGTCGCGGCGCCACCGTACGGTCTGCGCGGCCGTCGTCCCTTGGCTCTGCGCGGAACAACTTTTGTCCATGGTCCACGCTCCCGTGACCGCGCGAGGCGTCCCTTTTCGCGCGTCACGACGCGTCGCGTCGCCATCGAACCCGTCCGATCGCAGCGCGTTCTTACCGTTTACCCGTTTCCCCGATTTTCCACGAGACTCGCGGCACCGAGCGGCTCGCGACCGATACCGAGGGTCGACAATAATTCCGCCGGGGTGGGAAAGTGCGTGGCTGGAGGGATGACTGCGAGGGCTGCAGGAGCCGAGCGTTCGAGTTAGTCTCGGCCAGAACACAGGCCCAGTAGGATCTACGTGCACGTACTGGAGCCGCGTACGGTGCGTGGACTGAGGAAACAGAGGGTACGGAGGCCTTCCCCACCCCCTTGCAGGTCGCGATCGCGAGTTCCGCATGCGACGTGCAGTGTATACCGACCACGAAAACAGGTGCACCAGGTGATTTGTTCGTGATTATTGTGTGCTGTGACTATGTGTTCCCCTCGCACTAAATAACCCCGGAAAAAAGCAGCGCGACCGATTTTCTCTTTATTTTTTCTTTTTTCCGTTGTAAACGTTGGACAGTTGATAAGGGAGTCCTTTGATCGCGAGATCCCGTTCCAAGCTCTGGCATCTTCTGCGAGTTTACGCGCACGCACGTGCAGCCGTGCCCTCGGATTATCTGAAAGCCGAAACGCGACCGGCTGGAACGTGACCATCGGACGGATTCTTGATCGTCGCGACTGGCTCTATCGCCACCGGTCAACCAACTCGCCCCGAGAGGGAGAAAAACGAACGGAGAGAACCCGAGAACCGAGTGATAGCGCCTAGCTGACTGCTGGAATCTAGCGTTCCGCGAGCATCGGGCTGATTAAGGCTTAAGAAATCTGCGAGAACGGCGATCGGAGACTCCCGTGGATCTCTCCGCGTTTGGCCACGTAGCGCACGGTGAAAATCGAATTATTCGACACCTCTTGGACATTTCTGCCATTTATTGGCAGTTTCCCCTTTTTTTACCTAGGTCTCGAAAGTAGGCGCAGGACTCTGTCCAGAATATTTTATTTAAAGTGACAAACTATTTGGCTATAGTTATTGCACTTTACTCTGTCCAGGCTTGAATTATTTTTTTTTTTTGTTGACTTTCTCAAGCGACTTCGATACAAACATCCATGCTAAACTGACGACCCCTTCGAGTTTCTATTTCAACATCGAATAAGAGTTTCTTTGAGGAACGTTAAGTTTTGTGGGATAACTCTTTGCATGGAGGAAATTCGAAATTCGATAGACACCATTTTTCTTCGAACGAAGACTTCGTTCGTCCACTTGGAGAAGGAGTATTCTCCATCTCGTGATATTTCGATCGCTGCGATTTCGTTGGGAATACTTTCATTGGACACTTGTTGGCGAAGAGGAAAGTCATCACGTTTTTCTACCATGGTGCATTCGACCAACGTTAGATTTTCTTTACAAGAACGTTTCAACGAAATTACTGATTGTCGTCGCGTTGGTGGCGGAAAGTTCGACAGGAAGAAAATTTCAAGCGTCGGGACGTTCCGAAAATTCAAGGCTCGCGATGTCTCGGAATATTTCCCACAAGAAGACATGCTCGGTGCAATTTTCACATTAAACGTTTGCCTTCCCAAAAATTCATCCAGCCAATGGAAAATCGTGTACCCGATTTCGAAGGTATCGCCGTCAATTTGCCCAGAAGGAAAGTGTCGTGATTAATTTTCCGCTGTTCGTAGTCCTCCGCGAGACTTCGTCCACTTAAAAATGAAATAGCTCAATCTTAAAAATAATTCTTCCTGAAGAATTCCAACAGCCAGCAACTGACATTCGATTCACCAATTTAATCGATATTTCAACATTTTCTTCTTCGAGATCGAGCAACTCGAAAAAAAGAGGTGAAAAATCGTCCTTGGGCTCGGTGATGCCCCCGATGCAGTGTGTTGCAACGTCAACGAAGGGGACTGCCCCCAGAACTTCGGACGGATTCTTGTGCTTTTCCGTTCTCCGATCGCGAGGCGTCCCGACGCGGTCTCTCGAGGGGCCCGGTGTCGCAGTACAGCAACCCCGCGTGTCGTAATTATCTTATCCGAGCGAGAAAAAAATCCGTCCTCGCGGCGCGACGTCCCTGAGCGCGGCTCTTGAACTTACCAGTGTTGCGCATCCTTCTGCTCGCCGGAAGATATTGTTACAATCGGCCTGGAACAGCGTCGCGTTGCTTCGCGAAAGGGGGTCGCGACGCCTGCGGGGACGAGGGGAGGGGGACAGGGGGACGCCCGCTTATCGTCGACCGGTATATTGAGTAGCGTGCGACCGCTCGAAGAAAGCGAGTCCCGCTGCTGCGACCAGCGAAATTCCACGACTCCGGGCTGTCACCTCGGTGCCCTCCTACCCCTCTTTCGATTTTTCTTACCCGTCCCTCAGGCTGGTGCTGTGATCCACGGTGCCGCGATTACTGTTGCTGGATCGCTGGTAGCGACGGAAACTCATTTTTTTCTTCATCGGACAGAAGTCTTAGTTCAGAAATCCTATAGGAACACTTCGCGTAGGTCACTTTTGAATTACGTCGTTTTTCAAGCGCTTCGATTAGTGTCATATGCAAAATAATACTTGATCTTTATAGATACATCGGGCACTAATGAAGGCACTCGAATCAAAGCGGTTAAAGTCTACATCTCAGGGAAGATTCCATTCTCCTTAATACGTGAGAGCCTTGCACAGGTGTATAATCTATTTCCTTTCAAGCCAGTCTTCAATTATCACCGCACAAACAAAACGAGCTCTAACTGTTATCTACTCCAAGTTTCCACTACTATTTTATTCACTATCGTCCATCCACACAATCGACCCCTGGCATTTTCGAAACTGATGGCCAGCCTGGAATTTTCGCTGGGATTCTTTCACAACCGACGGCTGCCGAAACGTCCCATGTTTCGCGAGTGAATTCGTCCTGGACTCCCGTGTCGCTGGAAAGGGAAGCGTGTGATTCTGTGTCGAACGCCGCAGTGACTTTCGTTGTTCGATTCTTTCACGTCCAGTCCTCGGAGGTATCGCTACGTCGTGACGTTGTCATCTAGACAATTTTCCCGCGCTTTATGAAATCTGGTGCATCCATGAAGATTCTTGATCGGAGCCAATCAAAGGTAAAATGATTCCAAGATCGAGTAACGCGATGCAGTTGTTTTTATTTCGTATCTGCAGAGATCCATGAGAGTAAAGGGCTCGTTCCCTCTCCATTTTCAATCGTTTCGGTGCCGAGATTCGCGGGCAATCCTAAATCTCGTACCTCTAAGACGATCGTTGCGAAATTCCCTGGAACAGTGCTCGAGCAGCGAGTTGGCCACCGAAGACGCTCGCGATGACGATGCACGCGCGTGCACGCGCACGCCAGCCCGCGTTGACAAACTAATCCTCGCGTTATATCGGGTGATCGTAAAGCACGCGCTGACAAGCCGACAACCGCGTAGTATTTTCGTGGGCGGCTGCGACGAATTCTCGCGACTCCGTCTTGCCGAACACGCGACACGGTCGCTCAAGCGAATTTTCGCCACTCTATGGGCAATTTCCAGCAGTTTCGACGATTCTAGTTTCACCAATTGTCCATCCTTTCTTTTAATTTATTCGAATGGTTTATTTATCTCCTCCGCGTAAAAAGAAAAAATTTGTTGAATTACTCTGTTCAATTTCATCACGAAAATTTCGAAAATTGCGTAATCCGGTGAAACGATATTAGCGAATTAAATAATTGGACCAACGAGACCACTCTCGCGAAATTTTGTCACCAATTTGACATTTTCCTCCACAGTTTCCATTAATACCTCCATCAAGTCCAGGTATTTGTATTATTTTGGAATATCGTGCAGGGTCGCTTCGTGACGTGCAAGGACGGAAATTAATGCAAACTTTTCTTGTAACTCTCACACTTTACAAAAATAGTCCTATACCGAACCATTGCATTGATTTTCGATGGTTTTCAGCCATGGAAATTTATAAGTAGAAGTTGGACATCTAAATCTACCAAGCACCAATGATTTTCTCACCCTTTACAAAAAAAGGTGCTTCATTGAACCGTTGCACTGTCTTTCGATGAATATTTCTCAAATATGGAAATTTATAAGTAGAAGTATCGAATCTAAATTTTCTCCAATTCATACTAACCCTTAAAAGCATCTCTTCATCTGCCAATAACACCTCCCCCTTGATCAACGAAACTCCTATCTCGGGGATTGAAAATCCTCGAACAAAACAGTCAGAAATTTCGGACTCGATGACGGTTAGCGAGCATCGATCGGTCCGTGGTAGAGGAAATCGATCCACCGTAAAGCCACAGCAACAAGTACGCGGGGTTGGTGGCGTGAATCGAGTTAGAGTTGTTTTCGTTTCCGCGTCAACAGCGACTATCATCCACCAGCGATGATTAACTCGTGTAACCGGGCGAACACCGCGGAAATTAAAGTTGCATTATCCAGGACCCGGCACCGGTTAACTCGACTGTCACGAAGTGTGCTTAACACGCTAACGCGGATTAACGCGTTCCCCGGAAGCTGCACGCCTTTCACGGGTTCGTCGGGAATCGAGGGACGTCGGCTTCGATGACGCGCTGACCCCCCCAGGAGTTCAAGTTTCAGGAGAACGTTTCGGAACTTTGACTTTCTTCCAGACGGAGTCGCTGGTATTCCTGGCAGATTCTAACCGCGGTTAGTCTTCTGAAAACTTCCGCGATGCTCTGGAATTTGAATACGTAATACGACGGTTTCGAGTTTCGGACAATCGGGACACAAAAGAGAAATTATTATCGTTCCGCGGATATCGAAAATAAAATATGGAAAATAAAATTCGTCGAGGCTCCTCGCTGTTTGCGAGTTTCCGTTGAGTAGGATGCTTCGATTTTCCTAGGGAGCTTTTCAGAAAAGTACAGAGACCACTTTTTTAAAACGTTAAATAGGATAAAGTCTCATGACTGTAAGGGCATGTTTGAATTTTCCTAGGTAGGTTTTCAGAAAATTTGCACACCGATTCTTTAAACACGATAATGTCTCGTAGTCATAATTTTGACTCATTTGGCCGTCCTGACAAATTCTTCGCTGTAGCTCTTTCGACGAGCTCGCTCCGGTTCGCCAGACCTTCAGCGCCACGCTCCTCGAATCAACTCCATTATTAACGGCGAAACCGGAACAGAAATAACAAACTCGAAGACAAGGATCTAGATTCTGCGCGCGGTTTCGAGCGAAACGCATGAATTCCAGCGAGCACGGTGAAAAATAATAGCAGAAATCATTCAAGAGCCGAGCGTTAGTCATTCGATCGCGAACATCGTATTTGGAAGTTGAAATAAGTTCCATTCTCGCCTCGAGAGCGAGAAGTTGCCGTGTAGGTTGAAAATTGTTTACCAGAAATTTGATCGTTCGTATCGAAGAAGTAATTTAATCGAAAAGCTGACTTTGCCAGAGATTGCCAGTTTGTGCGTGCGCGTTGTCATCCGATTTCTTTACTCGTGGCTCGCAGATATTGTAAATAACGCGGAATGTATGACCGAAGCTGCTTTTGATTCCGGAAACGCGAGGGGAACTCAACCGAAACCATATCGACCCTTTCGCTGCGACGAAAATCAAACTGTCGTGCGTTGAAATCTCACCCAACTATCGATCGAGTTGAACTTATACGCATGCCGATACATGTTGATCGTTCTTGCTCCGAAATCGTTAATAATCAAAAATTGTTCTGCTCCAAAATCGTCCTTGCTCCAAAATTATTCTTATTCCAAAACCATTTATTCCTGCTTCGAAATCACATCTGGTCCAAAATTGTTCTACTCCAAAACCATTCCTGCTCCAAAAATTACTCTTGCTCCAAAATCACATCTGCTCCAAAATTATTCCCGCTCCAAAATCGCGTACTCGCAGGTTTGATCGACTGTCATTCTCACGAAACAGACCAGCGGGAAGGGTGGTCGATCAAACTGGCAGGTAAACCTCCGGCAATCCTGCTTGTACCTACGAGCTACTTAACATGTTCGCCGCGGTGCGAGGCATGTATGCTTCGCGTCGTATATCGTTCCGTGCGAGCTATACTTCATCGAACCTTCGTCGTATGCTAAAAGGGTATCCTCGTGATTGGTACTATTTCCATTAAAATTTATAGAGCGCGATCGCGAAGTCCGCGTCTCTGTTTTCTCTGGATCGACTGCTGGCGAGACAACTCTCTCGTATATACCGAGATAAAAGTTGGAAGTAAAGTTTAACCGAACGATGAATTCGAGTGGTAGCGTTCGGTGGCGAAAGGATCGAAAAAGCTGGAAAGCGTCGCGACGCTGAGAGGCTGAGCGTCATCGAAAATCCCGGTGCCCTCGCGTCAGTAACCATTTCGAAACTCAATCTCACCTCGTTATCCTTAGGAACGTCTGAAAATCGTAACGTCGCTCGGAACAAAGGCCGCTCAGTCACCAAAGAGCAATCGAAGGGTTACTGTCTGAGCGGGGAACGCGGGTTTAGGGGTGGCGCGGAGGTGAGGAAAGGGAGGGGGAAGAGGGCGAAAATAAGAAACATAGATACAACGCGGAGGGAGACGCCTGGCGAAAAAGAGGAACGAAAGAAGAAGGGAACCGACGATCGGCAGGGTTGGAGAAAAGGGCGGTCGGGGAGCTGAAAATATGAGATCCGCTCTGGTAGGGACCACCTAGACAGCCTCCGATCCTTTCCGCGGCGTCTCCCACCTTCGCGCAGCTTAACCCCACCGTCGCGACGCTCTCCTCTGAATCTGTCCGCCGGCGTAGGTGGTAGGGGTGCCGGGTGCCGCGAGATTGGCTGAGCGGTGGGCTGTCCTACCCCCTCCGCTACTCTCTGGCTCCGCCTACCCCCCTCCAACGGCCGTGCACCTCCTCCAGACATAGCATCGGTCGTTCAGTAGCTCTTAGTTTCAGGTTAGGAGCCTGCTAGGACGGGTCTCGTACACTCTCCCCTGAGGTCAGCTGCTGATGCGAGACCAGACGAAACGAGACGAGGGAAGAACCGGAGCCAGTGAAGTGTGATCGCGTGCAGTGCGGGTTTTAGCGTCGGTTTTTTCCGCGCGAGTGTGGGTGTGATGCCGTCGCGTGAACCACAGGCAGCCTGACGACCGGCCGGGATCGAGATCCGATCATCTGGTGTCTCGAGCCAGGGTTGCTCCTCGATGACTCTGGCGAACTCGGAAAGGACATTGTGCGATTTCGTGTGACCGTGGGACCAGTGTGTAGTGCAACAGGTCCAGTGTGTTCCGGGACAGTGTCCGGGACTAAGGAACAGGAAGAGACGGTAGCGACGGGCCCGCCGGCCGAGGCGTGCGCCCCAGGAGGCGTCGGCGGCGCCAGCAATCGTAGGGGAACGGTTTTGGGCCCGGCGGTGAAGCTTGAAGCCGTCAAAGTGGCTTCGTCACTGGGCCTCCAGGGGCCATCAGCGCCGATCGGGGCCCAACTACTCACTGGCGGTTCGGAGGATGCACCGGCCGTCTACCACGCGAATCTGCTAGCCAGCAGCAACGCGTCCGTGCTCCAGCAGCCCGTTCTAGCGAGCCTGAACACGCCGGCACTGGCCAGCATGCAGGCCTCTGCGGAGGCCAACTCGCTGGACATTCAGGCCATGCAATCCATGGACTGGCTGTTCAAGAAGGAGCGGATATACCTGCTCGCCCAGTTCTGGCAACAGGTAAGTGCTCGACGTGCGAGATAGCGAGCGTCGTGACTCGCTAACCCCCTGCACCCTCGGCACAGAACCCAGATCATCTCGTACCGCCGTGAGAAACGACGATCCTCGCACAGGAGTACCCGGTTACCGCGGACACTTGTAGCTTCCGGGGGCCTAGTGGACTGCGAGGACGGGTAAATGTGACTGTGACTCGAGGCTCAAGTGCCCGTGATCGGGATTTCGACGCGATCGACTCGTGGCACGCGAATCACGCGGGGTGAAGTGTAGCTCGCTGACGCATTTACCAACCACGTTGGAATTGACAGTTTGCTAGCGAAAAAATGTATAAACGAAACTTGGTGACGAGACAAAAAAAAAGAAACGCGTCGATGTGCGAATCGCGAAGTAACGCGTCGTTATCGATGACGAGTGTCGCGATTTTCGAGAGTATTTTGTGAGTCTTTCGGTTGGTAATTGCTGGTCAGGTTACTGGCCACTTGGCCGTCCCCGAGTTTCAACGAGGGTGCGAGGGTGGCGAAGTTTCCCCGACACTTGCTGTTTGGAGGATAGTTCAGCGATTTAGGGGATAGCTCGACCGACTTGCGGCAAAGTGGCCTATATACAGTGGTTGACAACCATTTTCGACTACGATTTTCTTCAGTAGGGAACGACTCGGTGTAGGGTGAAAAAACGCGCGCGAGGGATTAGAATGTGACCTCTCGATAATGTTTTCAGAGTTTCGTGATCGTTCGCGGTGGGTCTGTTGTGGTCACCAATTTCTTGGAATACGTAACCTCGCGCGAATAGTTTCGGAGTTTCCCAAGTAAACAAAGATCGTATTCAGGGAATATTTATTTACGAGTGTCCTTCGATTCGTTTACGATTGACAGAAGCCTCTCGTGTCCCTACAGAGTTTCGGAACAGTGTCCCGTTACCAAATACCGGGGCCGCTACTAGCGCGTTGTTTGCGATGTCCGATCGAGTTTAGATATCTTTGAAACTTGGCGAAAAACACTAATTCGGATAGACAGAGAGTTTATTAAACGCGTCGTCAACGAGACGTGTCAGTTTCGCGTAAATCGAGCATCGTGTGAAGGACGCGTTCTTGAACTTCTTTCGAATTTTACATATCTTTGACAGGAAGACAGCTACTTCGGTGACAAATGTTAATAACATATTAACACCGCATACGATTAACGGCGGCATAATCGCAAAAGTTGTAGAAGGTTATATATATCGTTGAAATAATATTTCAGCCACTCTTGCCTTAAATTGTGAATGTCTCGGTGTGTTTCAACTGTGTACGTTTTAACACAAAACGTAGGAAGTTCTATTTCCATACAATCGACAGAAATCGGATCCTAATCTCGGCCGATCGACAAAGTGCTTTCTCGAATATTCCCTCCGAGGCTCGTGGAAATCCTGGGTATTTTTTTAGGCCCCTTTCGCGGGAATTTATCTATTTGCCTGTCGCAGAAATGAATCTATTTCAACTGTCACAAGGTCTGAGTGATTCGTAATAATTTATGAGTCAATTGATGATCGTGCTGAACGCGAAGGCTATGGAATATTTCTGTAAAAGAATCGCATAAAGTTTCTCGAGTCACTCACATTATTAGAAGCTTGAGATTAATGTAATCAAGGTATTACTTGTAGTTTGAATAGTGAAGTTTAGAGATTGTAACTACTACCGCAGTGTATTGCAGTTTTGAAAAGTATCTTTACTAAGAATTAATTACTAATCAGCCTATCGAGTAGTCTATCATCAGGTTGATGCAATGTTTTGGTTATCACATAAAAGATGCTCCAAGAGAAGCCTTAGTATTCTGTACGTTTTCGAAACTTAAATATCATATTTCATACATCTTTTCACTTAGAATTAGAAAAAATATTATCAGATACACGCCACTCTAATTCCACTCCGAAACAGAATCTTACCTTCCCTTTTGGAGCAGTTTACTGTCTCCGGTATACCACTCTAAATTTCAAGGAACCACTTTGAAGGCCATTCTTGCAAATTAGTAAACAATCTCCACTAATTTTTTGATCAATCAGTAACATCGATAACCTCCACTCCCCGCGAAGAAAACGCGAATGGCACGGTTGTAACCTAACCGTGCACGCGCTAGGGTCTCGTGGAGCACGGAGTTTGTGTTGGTTGCCACTGTGTAGCTGTTTTCGATAAAATACGGTCGCTTAATAACGCGCGAACTGGTCTCGTACCGGTACGAGATTATGACCTGACCGGGGTCGGGACTATTAATACCGCATAGTTTCATAATTATGTCTATTGATTAGGCTGGGGGTTAATGACGCCAGAACGTGGCTCGAACCTCCGGGAAGCGGGAAGGTTTCGTCGCAACGAGTTTCCGGGGCCGTTTAGGAACGTCGCTTTTGAAGTCGTTCCGCGCGCTTCTCGTCGGCGAAAATTCCAAGCGCGTTGAATTTGTGAAACGCGGAGACAATTATTGACAAAACCTGTCGTCACGTCCCCTTTCCCGGCTTAATTCGCTTGGACGTAATCGCAACAGACGCGGCGCGGAAAGGTCGTAGCGAGAGGATCGATGAAGCGGTATAACCCGCTGACACGTTTCAGAGGAAAGTGAAAACGCCGAAAGCCAAGCTACTTGGCGTACACCGACCCGCGCGATTAAACGCTCGGGGTCTTTGATTTTCCAGGTTGAATTGTTCTCGCAAAGATTAGAAGCTAGAGGAACTCCTTTCCGTGCGAGTAGGCGTAACGAAACGACGATTCTTTTTCGACGATGGGGGAAAGCTTTTCGTTGAGAATCTCGGGCTTCTGGGAAATTGTCCGTCGAATGACGGACGGAATAAACATTTTCTTTTTAGGGTGATACGCGTTAAACGTCAACCTCGCGAAATCATCCTCGCGAAACTAATGCGAGATCAAATTGTCTAGAAAGTTGAGTCAAGTCTCTCGGTTCTTGCAGCCTTTCCCTGATCCTATAGTGTCGAACTTAGGAAGTGGATTAGGGCATACTTTTCTAGTGCTTTCCTTGTTTTGTCCAATTTCGTGCCACTCGTAATTTAGTTATAATTCGTAACGTCGTTAACTTGGACAGATTTTAGGAAATGACCTTCTCGAGTTTGACAGGAACCTGCGCGCGCAAACTATGTTGTCAACAAACTCAGGCCCGCGTGTCGTGGAAGGTTTTTAAATAGATTTCATGTCGGGGCGAGATTTCTGTTTCGGTATGTTTAGAGTATTATGGATGCGACACATGTTTGATCGTCGCGGTTTGACGTTAACATTCGACGATAAATGAAAACGTATTCCGCTATATGTATCAAAACATGGAGAGCATAACTGAAAACGGTGCTGAATACTCGATGCAGTGTCAACGAACACTAGATAGAAAGCTGAGGAGACGTTTTCGATTCGTCATTCGACCTGCATACAACTATTCGTTTCGGAGCGCACGGTGTTTACATTCCTGATTTCCCTAAAATTAACATGTTCTTATCAGGGCGAGCTTTAGGATATTGTTTTCTGGTAACAGTAGTCGTTTAGGGCACAGTCGAACTTAATTTTGTATATTTATTAATCATACTTTATGTACGGGCAATATGCCCTTGATGTCAAGTGCAATAATAACTAAAAGAAAAATCAGAAAAATGAAGACAACCACAGCACATCATTATGTACCATATTTACATTGAAATTGGGGTAAAAATAGTCCATGCGTGGTGGGCCCATCGCACGTGGACTTGCATTTAGACCAAAACTATCGGTCATACCTCGATTAACCCTTTGAGTGTCAAGAACCTCCTCCGTACAATTGCAAAAGGGCCAAGAACCTAATTTCTGTTTGCAATCATGCATCTTTGTTTAAAATTGTCTGGCATTTCTCAGATATGTATGAAAATTTCCTCTGCCATTCAAAGGGTTAGGAATCAACATTCTCAAGCCTTCCCTTGGAAAACCCCTGATTTTCGAGCAGATAGGAATCTATGCCGGCCGTCAATCGCGCAGAAACGCGTTCGTTCGCCGAGATTGATTTACTCCAAAGCGAGAGGCGAGGTTACGTCGGACGTTTCTCGATTTCCAACGAAAACCGCGGTCTGAATCGCGATTCATCCGAGGGGAAGGGGGAAAACCTTGGGGAAAATCGCTCGAACGGGCCAATAATTAGCTCCGGGGAGACGTTCGAACGAGAGAAAATTCGGGGAGGAGACAGAGAGCCGCGTCCGGTCGCCTTTCCAGGGAGCAACCGTGCGCGTGGAACGAGACCACGAAGCGTACTCCCAATTAGGAGCGTGTCGACCGTGAATGGACAAAAGTTTTGCCATGACTCGCGTCACTTCCCCTCCCGCTCTCGACACCGTGCTCCCTGGCTCCCCTCCAGGAGTCGCGATTCGACAGGCGGTAGGGGAATCCCTGAAGCGGTTCCCGAGATTCCCGAGTGGCGGCGACACTTGCCGAGACGCGTTCAACGACGCGGAGACGTGAATCACGCGCGCTCTGACACCGCCGGGTAGAGGAGCCGCGTGGACGCTGGGTCCTCTCCGTCTGGATCCCTCGATCGCGATGGATCGAGATTTCCAAAAATAAATTCTTCTGTTACGTCTCTCTGACCCCTTCTCCAACAGTTTCCTCTGGGATCTCGTGGCTGACGACGTGTCTGACTCGTGATTCTCACACGTTATTGCAGGGTAAGGGGTTAATGGTTCGATGATCGAGGGTTGCAAGTGGAAACTGCCCCTTGAAAATCTGGACGTCTTGAATATCTTGACAAAATATAGATATTCTTTGTCTTCTCAAACCTGATGCAACAGTCACGGGGTTGGATACTCCAAATGCGAAAACGTACCATTCTTTGGTAGCGAGATGAAACAAAGACTTTAATTTTGGTAGAGAGTCGCGTTTGATTTTCCAAGAGAGATACTTGAAAAGAAATAAAACGTCCGATGCTCGAAACGTCGTTGAAAAAAAAATCGCACGCGTTTCGAATCGGCAGGGCACACAAATAAAAGACGGGTCGGAGGATAATTACCGGCAA